TTTTTTCTTTTATGATTTTTTTACAATTTAATTTTCCTATACATAGCACATTTTTTAAACTTAACAAGCAAAGTGAGGTATATCTAATCAAAACACATTATAAGCCTGTATGAAATTCTCAAATAATGGAAATAAGCAAAAATAAAGTAAGCACTTACCCTGATAAGCTTCCAGAAGTTTCACTAGGAGAAGAATGACTGAGTGGTGAAATAGACAATCTGAAGCTCCCCTGGTCTTCAAACCCAGATCCACCACTCACAGTAGAGTCAGTCTTCAACTCTATTGGAAAGGTGTATTCTCCAATAAGAACCGAAAACAACAATAACAAAAAGCATACAATTTAAATGTGATCGATCACTGATACTTACCAACACTTTTAGGTAAGACTATAAAATCTTCTTCAAAAGTGACGTGCTTGTCACTGCTGCTTGTCTTACTGACACATTCTTTTTTCCTTTGGTTTTCACTATTATCTTGTATTTCTTCACATTTTTCTAAAAGGCGAAGGCATGGTGCTCTGGGGTTCCTTATTGATGAGTAACTACCGGGTATAGGAATGGAAACTGAGGCAGCTTTCTCATTGTTCTGCACATCTGGTACTTCGTCAATGGAGCACTCCTTCCTCCCTATGACTGTGCTTCCATTCTCTCTTATGTTGGTAAGAACTGACGTTGAAGAGGCTGTTGTTGTAAGTGATTCTTGAGTCTCACGCTCCACATTTTCATCAGAGAAAACAGCTGCTGAATCTCCTTTGGGTTCCCTTGTATTAGTAGCACAAACATCCACTATACTGATGTCTTCAACAGTCTGCTGTTTGGGCAAACATGAATCCCAAATGTCCGAAGTGCCTGCTCTCACAAAGGGCTCCCATGCACCTTCACAGCCACTGACTTCTGTTTTCGCAAGGTATTTCTCCATGTCAAATGCATTGGATCTGTTGCTTTTCTCTACATCATTAGTTGAGAAATGAGATGTGGTGGAACAGTCCTCTTGTGTATCATCATCCTGGAAAGTCTTGCCTCTTTTTTTATTGGTAAGTGCCTTCATCATGGCAACCAGCTGGGCAGGATCAGTACTCACTGACACATCTGCAATGGCTGAAGCAATGGTGCTTATTCTAAGTACAGAATCTCTACCGCCAGACAGCGTGTTTCTGTGTTCTTGACCTTTGTTGTTACTGTAGAAAGTATCCTAGAAATAAGAAAACTTCCATTAAATAAACTCACTCTATTTACAGGGACAAATAGAGATTAATCTTTATCCATTGTAGTCTTCTCTTACCCAAAGGCTATGTCTAGTGCATGTTTGAAAGCACAGATAGCACACCAAACTATATACACACACTATGCTTATTCCTAGGCAAGATACATACCTGTGATAAAACATAATTTATAAACTGAGCACAAGAAAACATAATGGGAACCACAGGTACAAAACTGAGATGGGCCCAACAGCAAGAACTATAAACTACTATTTATGGAAAACACATATTAAAACATCTACCTCTGGTGACAAGGGATGCTAACCTTCTGCTGAGAATAATTAGAACCCAACAGTATATTTAAAAGCACTCTATTTGCTCAGTACGCTGGCACATGTCTATAAACTCAGCACTTGGAAGGCATAGGCAGGAGGATCAGGAATATAGTTATTCTCAGTTACACATGAGTTCAAGATCAATCTTGGCTACAAGAGACATTGTCTCAAACAAACAAGCAAATTGGAAGGAAAAAAGGAAGGAAGGAAGGAAGGAAGGAAGGAAGGAAGGAAGGAAGCAACTGATCAGAAGAATACAAATTAAACAAAGAAGTACCACTACAGAGGTACTCAAATGGTTAGTAATCCCATTCATTGAGGAGAGGTCATGTGTTTACATGAATTATTTATTACAGAACATTGGAGACCCTACTCAAAAAACTATGCCAACGGTACTTCAGTGTGTAAACTATCAGTATTCAACATATACAGACACAGAACAGTAGGGGTGCCAACCAACAAGGCAAGGATACTAGATTGTTTACAACATAATGTTGCCCAAATATCCCAAACATTTACTAGTATTCATGTAACAGAACACAGCATACTAAGTAAAATGATCTATTGTATTCCTCTAATGAGTAAAAGCTGAAGCAAAAGCAATTAAAGAAAAAGTACGTACTACATACTTTCCTTCATATAAAGTTCAAAATAGGCAAAAGGAATATAGTATTCTGGACACTAGTAAGTATTAAGTACTGTTTAGAAAAGTCTTTTAAAAAAAATTCTGAATTATTGGCAATTTTTTTTCTTTCTTTCTTTTTTTGGGGGATCTGGAGGTAGAAGTTGACAGACTTCCTACTGACCAAGTCGAGAAGGACGTAACATATCAGACAGGAAAAAACAGTGTATGCAATCTTCTCAGTGTTCTTTTCCTTGATCTGGGATACACAAATTGTGATGACTCATTCATTGTAAGTCTGTTTTATATATTCCTCTATATGTACATTATAAATTGATTTTTAAAATGTTCTCATTTAGGCCGGACGTTGGTGGCGCACGTCTTTAATCCCAGCACTCAGGAGGCAGAGGCAGGTAGATCTCTGTGAGTTCGAGACCAGCCTGGTCTACAAGAGCTAGTTCCAGGACAGCCTCCAAAAGCCACAGAGAAACCCTGTCTTGAAAAAAAAAAAAATGTTCTCATTTAAACAGACACTGTAATAAACTTGAAGCCAAGAAAATAAGGGCATATAATTTTCACAAGTGGTCTTAGTCCATCTTATTTGAAAACCATATCAAGATAATATAAAAATCCCTTTAAGAAAAGTATGAGCTACCTCTGTCTTGCTTTTGTTGGCAGTTAGAGTCACATCGTTTTCATCCACCTGGGAAGTCCTCTGCAGTTCTTCAGCCTGAAGTGTAACTGATCCTTCACTTAGCTGTGCCTGGGACAGTTCACTTAAATTTCCTATAAGAAATAAAACACATTCAGTTTAAAGGCATGTATTACCCCTCATTAATAATCTGAGATAAGGAAGTGCCCATCAAAATGATTGTCAAGAAAAATATCTCTGTATTGCAAATATAAGTTGTCTTTAGTAAGAGTGCTTAAATGATAGCCATCTAGACAAAGGCCAGGCTTTGAAGGAAGGCTCTGAAATTTAATCTCCCCTACAAATATTCATATAAACTAATTTAATATATTTTGGCTTCAAATACTGATTTCAAAATGATATAATTCTTCAGCACGATAAAAAAATGAATGAACTGCACACACAGGCCCTTTGTCCTAAGTCCTGTGTTGGAACTCAGGCTCTGTAAGAATGGGGCACATTTTGGGGCTATAGAGATAGTTCTGTGGTTTAAAGCACTGGCTGCTCTTCCTGAGGACCTGGATTCAATCCCACATGGCTGCTCACAACTGCCTATAACTCTAGTTCTAGAGGATCATGCACATGGTGCACAGACATACATAAAACAAAGCAGCCGGGGCTGGGGAGATGGCTCAGAGGTTAAGAGCACCGACTGCTCTTCCAGAGATCCTGAGTTCAATTCCCAGCAACCACATGGTGGCTCACAACCATCTGTTATGAGATATGGTGCCCTTTTCTGGTGTGCAGATATACATGGAAGCAGAATGTTGTATACATAATAAATAAATAAAATCTTTAAAAACAAAAAAAGACAAAGCAGCCATACAAATTAAAATAATAAAATTTTTAAAAAAGAATGGAGCACATATTATTCAACATCATATTCATGCAGCAAAAGGCATTAGGTTAGCAAAGAGAAATGGCTCAACAAATTAGTTAACCAAGAAAGTCTAACTTAAAATATTATCTATTAGCAAGGAATGATGGCACACCCCTTTAGGATCTCTGAGTTCAGGGCCAGCCTGATCTACAGAGTAAGTCCAGGTCAGCCAGGGATACATAGAGAAACTGTCTCAGAAAAACACAAAACAAAAACCTTCCCATAGATAATCACAGGAATGTTATGTAAAATATAGACTATTACAAATTTCAAAGCATCTCTTTAAAATCTAAATGATAAATATAATTCCTATTATTCCTTAACAGCAATAATTTAATAAGCCAAGCTTAACTAGGTCATTTGAAATTATTTTCATTTGCTATAGTAGTTTATACAAATATTTGGGTGGATTTTGGCTGTCTTCCTTACTTTCAATTGAAAAGAAAATGTGAAGTTATATAAATATCAAATCTGCGCCACAAGGTGTTGGCTCACGCCTTTAATCCCAGCACTCAGGAGGCAGAGGCAGGAGGTTCTCTTTGAGTTTGATGACAGCCTGGTTTCAGGACAGCCAAGACTGGTACAGAGAAACCTTGTCTCAAAAAATAAAAAAAAATAAAATAAAATCTATAGCCAATGTTGAAAAGTTAAAACAATGTATACATCTTCACCCACAGAGATTTTGATCACACAAGTCATGTGATTACCAAAGTTCCTTTAAGTCTTTCGTCTAACCCACTACCTGAAAACAAATCATGGCGAAGATGAGTCACTTCTTTGTCCAAATTACTTCTTGACACATCAGAGTTTAGTAAAGCAAAAGGTTCTTTCTCCTCCGGTGATGTAATAAAATAACCAAATGATGGCTGCAAAAACAATTAAACACAAATTAATCTTCTTTAATTTCCAACCACTTTGAAAAGCTCTAGATTAGATTACTTCATCTACTACTACTACTAAAACATCAAAATGACTTCAACAAATCTATCCTTGCCATTTAACTTCAAGTACAGACAGAACCTTTGAGCTGGTTCTCCATGGAAAGACCTGGGTTCCACATCCAACATGGGGAGAGGAGGAGAAGCTTTAGACAAAACCTTTTGTTTCTTCAATTCTAGCTACCATTTAATCATTGTAAGTGATGTCGTTAAGTAAGCCTTCCTAAAAACTCAAACAATTCAGATGTGACACGTCAGTTTTCAGTAACTGTAATTATCAAGTCACTATGTATTAGGCACTGTTCCAAATGGGGGGACAAAAATGTTGTAGAACTTAAATACAGCATATTTTGCTTTATAGATTAATAAGCAGAAAGCATGCCTTGAGACTAAGCATACACCCATTGACTTTCATGGAAGTTTCACAAAGACCTAGGCTCAAGCAAGCTGTTAAAGAGAGCTGAATTTGCACTTTTTTTCAAGACTTCATATCACAGATCTAAAATATGAATTCAGTTTCTGGTTGATACTCATTTGGAAATTTCTTTCCTTGATCCAGTAAACTGAATCGGTGAAACTTCATAATACCAAAATAAAAATTCTGAGTTAGACCACTTTTCCTAAGATGTAATGCTGTGTTCATCTGTTTAGGAAGGAGTTCAGAAAGTATGGTGGCACATGCTTGTAATCCCAACACTTTGGAGGGAGAGACAAGACAGATCTCTAGGATTTCAAGGCCCATTTGGGCTACAATTTTCAGGTTAGCCTGGGCTAACTACATCCTCTACATTAAAGAAAAGAGTTCAGAACCAATGATAATGGCACACAACTACAATCTGAGGAAGATTTAAAAACTACTATAAATTCAAGTTCAAAGCCAGCCTGGTAAGATACTGTTTCAAAAACAAGACAAAACAAAAAATAATGGTTACTTTTTGATTTCTTTCATAATCTCAAAACACCCCAATCAATCCACCACTTTCAAGCATTTAATTTTTTTAAAAAGGTTTTGTTTTTTTTTATTATGTGTACAGCATTCTGCCTGCATGTATGCCTGCAAGCCAGAAGAGGGCATCAGATTTTGTTACAAATGGTTGTGAGCCACCATATGGTTTCCAGCTACCATATGGTTGCTGGGAACTGAACTCAGGACCTCTGAAAGAACAGTGCTCTTAACCACTGAACCATCTCTCCAGCTTAATTTCATTTTTAATAAACTGCATGGATAACATATTTTA